TAGGTGGTCGACGTTGTGCACTTACAATGACCATGAGGTGAGTAGGAGAGAAACAGCTTTGTGTTATTGGGAGGAGGTTATCAAACATGGCGATGAGATCATCGCCAACGGGTTGTCCTCACAACCCCAGGGAAGTTTTTGGCCACGACCACGGCTGCTCGAAATCGATCAACAACCTTCTCCTCACAGTGTCAACATCGACGATGACAGGGAACCGCTGTTTGTTGGACGAAGAAAAAATCGCCCGAAGACTAGTTTCGACCCCCTCGTGCATGTCGACGTGGGCACTTTTCTTATCCTTCGCCCCTCCGATGATGATCTGTCCAGCGATGTGCCAATCTGGGTGGGCAAAGCTCTTTCTCGGGTGGTTGTTGATTGTAATTCGTAAAATTATAATCAAGTGCTAATGGAATATTGGGTGCCGACTGGGAGAGCAAAGTCGCTCGAACATTTGTATGAGAACGCATGGGAAAAACGATGGAAAATGACTGACCAGATAAAATGGCAGGATGTTGACTCGATCGCTTTTGGTTGGGAGAGACCGGTTCGTGGTACAAGACCATTCACAACTGGACTTGTCATTCCTTCCAGTGTTCGACTGAATGTTGAAGCTGCACTTCTCGATCTGAGTCCATCTGGTGAAGGTCCATCTGGTGAAGGGAGTGTAGATGGAGGGGACAAGAGCGATTAGTACACGTCTGCCCGATAGAGTGGGGGAGTGAGATTTTGGTAAAATAAGTGTTTGAAGGGATGAGAATTCAGAATGGAGCATATTATTGTTGCAATAATTTTGCGTAGCGAATTTTGTCCACGGTCTACGGTTTAATTTTTTAAGATGGTTGGTGATGGTTCAACAATTTTCAAAGTCAAGTTCATCATGAAGGCGATTTTTCTACTATTTCGATATTTCATTTTTATTTTTTTTACATTTCATGTCTTGTGTAGGGAGTGCGACAGGAGTCATGGACCATCGGCATGATTATGCATGTCCCATTCACCCTTGTGCATGCAGATTCCATGGTTCGGGAGGCGATACCGAAAACGACCCGTGGATGACCGTCGTCCCCTTCTTTGACAAGCCTATCGATGCGTGGTCCGAGGCAGAATGGGATAGAGCCATCTTAGCAAGGAAATGCCCATGGCATAAGGACTACAAATTTGCTTCCGCGATGGAGTGGGGAAGTCTGATCAAAGTACCTCATTATGCCATTGGTGTCAGGCAACTTCCGTCTCTGCGTGCCCGCTCAGGCAGGAAGAGAATAACAGGTTTTACCTTCGCCTGTACAAGAGTTGTTGGACTGTGCATCCTACAATCCGTTTTTGGAAGTATATCCGCTGCGTGGTGCCGGGTTACAACCAAAAGATGTGTCATATTGTTGCATACGGTTGTCTGTGGCCGGTTCCGACTTCTGCAGAGTGTTGTGTGTGGCATGTTCAAACCGAAAGCGGACTTTGGTAGACGATGTAGTGCTAGTTTCTTGCAACCACCTGAGAGTCTATGGTCGCAGCATGGGGAATTTGCGCCTTCTGTACGAGAACGGACAATCCGATTTTGAGATTGCCATTCGAATTGATGAGGTTCATACGTGGCATGAGGTAGAGCAAGTGACATGTTGTGTGCGTGACGCCATCGGTAAGTCCTTGGCGGGTGCCTGTAGGTTTATAAGGATGAAGTACATTTCGGTGTTCTCGGGGGTGGCGACGAAGGAACAGCCACAAGCCCTTATTTTCGGGTCGTCTATGAATGCCTTATACGGGTTTGGTTCTAAAGGGACGCGGGGACATCGGTAAGAACTTCAAATTTTGTAAATGATAGCGTTTTAGAAAGTTTACATCGTTGCGGCTCGTAGCGTTTAATTTAGACGTAGTTCAATGTACAGTTGCCTTGTAGCGTTTAATGTAGACGTACTTCAATCTTGCATTTGCGATTTCTTGCACGTGTCGGTACAATTTTGAACTTTAATTACTTGTACAATTTTTTACTTTTAATTTTTCATGGGTACGACATTTCTTGAAGTGAGACAGAATCCATGGTACTCACATGAATTTCAGTTTCATATGACAATGTCGTATCGGTTTATGATTTTTTATCAAAGTGCGCTGAAATCCATACATAAACCATCTTAGACTGGTTTCGCCTTCACACCATGTCATGTGTAGTACGTCTGATTCAAGTGCATTTCAATGTATGACAATGACATGTCAGTTTCGTCTTTAAAGTCACATAAATTGTCGAAGT